CTGTTGAGTACTTGGTTTACAAAGTTACTTCAAATTTCACTTTTTTTTATCATTAATGTTCACGTCAAGCTAACATTTTCTTGGTTATGACATCATTATCGTGAATCATAATAATTTATAATTGGTTTTCTTTCTAAAAAAACCTTAGGATCAACAAAATGTGTTAAACATGACAAGTCCATTTAGTACTAATTTGATTTAGAGGATTGACCATTATAGTTCCTTCTAATTCATCTTTTTCTTGTTTGATGATATTTCTTAGTTAAAAATTAAGATTAAAAAGTTAAAGGGTTATTTTTATATTATACTTTTTAAGGATACAAAAAATGTAATAATATAATAACCTAAAATCATTATAAAGAGGTTAAGTATTCTCATATATTTTTAGAGAGAATAGATAATACCATTACATAATGTGTTTCTTTCTTAAGAAGAATCTTTGAAACCGATAAACACTATTGCTTTAAGGATAACAATATTATACATAAATAATTATAAATGATTTAAGTGTTCTCATATTTTTACATATTATGTGGATTAGTTGTTTTCTTCCTTCGATAAGATTAACAATATAAAATTCATTATAAATAATATCACTGTTCTTGATTATTTTCATAATAGACATAATTTTTTTTATGTTTAATGTTGTTTAACTCTCTTGTAAGAAGATTTGTTATAGATTTTTACATATGAATTTGATTTAGTCCCAATACTTTTTGTTATTATTATTTTTAATATTGTCCATACGATAACAAATAATTATGTTGATTTAGATAAGTAGTAAAAATACATACATGAGTTTTAAAAGTATAAAACTATTATAAATTAAGTTATAATTATTAATTATTTAATCAAAAATATTAAAAAAATACTTAAATAATATTAAGATAATTAAATGTGTTTTTGAATATATATATATATATATATATATATATATATATATATATATATATATATATATATATATATATATATATATATATATATATATATACTAACACTGTAGTTTTTTTTTTTCAGTTGGTATATTTTAACAAAAGTGAAAAATAAATGAACGAATAAAGTAAGAGTAATAAATTGTGGTATGGCAGGTTAAGTTAGGTGAGTGTTTGTGATTTTTTTCAGTTGAGGTTATTATGGTAGGATGACAGAGAATGTTAGACTAGGAGAGATGAAAGAGATAGAACTGAGAGGGACGAGGAAGAGATGAGTAAAAGTTTGATGTTTTTTTTTTTTAGTTTTAAAAATAAAAATCATTCAAAATACTCTTAATCTTATAACTTAAAACTTATAACATATGAAAGTAGTTTTGTGTATTAAAACTCGATAAATTTATTAAAATGTATCAACTAAAAAAGTTACATAAATCTCAATAAATATATATATATATATATATATATATGAATAATAAAATGAAATCAGAAATTAGCAAAAAGTAAGAATAAATTTAATAAGGAACATTATTTTACGTATCTCAGTGGCAAACTATTATTTCTAAATTAGCAATATTGTAAGTTGAAGGAAATTTGTTGCATTATTAAAGCAACAGTGGTGAATAAGATCGAAGTACGATTAAAAGTGATGAGAAAACTTTTCAAAACAAATAATAAGAATAATAATAAAGATAATAATGATAATATTTATAGATTGTGAAGTATGGCAGCATTAACATTATTATTTACTCAATCATGGCATCTTCTCAGTAAAAGAAAAGGTAAAAAGAAAAGTCAAAAAGTTGAACTGTAGAAAGAGTTCAACCAAACGGAACCTGCAAAAAGGCTTACATTTGCACATGGACCATGCAGATTCCCAGAATAAAAAACTTAATCCCTTTAAGGTACACTTTTCTAAAATTAAATAAAAATACTATCGATAAAGTTTCTCCTAAGAAATAATGACAAAATATAATAAAGTAAAAGATTAAATATTTTTATTTATATTTTAGATGAAAATTAAAATTAATCTTTTTTTAATTTTAGTTTAATTTAGTTTTTTAATTTTAGGAATATACAGATTTAGGTTTTTTTAATCAAAATTTTATTAAGTTTATTTGAAGTTTTAACATATATCTAATAATATATTTGAGTGATTTATTGTTGATATTTTTTTTAATATTAATTAAAAAATATTTTTAAAACTTTAAATAAATTTAATAAAATTTAGTTAAAATAACATGTAATTTTAAATATTAAAGTTAGAAAACTAATTTTAATTTTTATTAAAAGAAAAAAATATATTTAATCCTAAAATAAGAAAACAAATGTCATGTTTTATGTCTTTAAATTTTTATGTCCAATTTTTAATGATGTGATATTTTAGTAAATGTACATCATTAGATTTAGATTTTTTAAAGAGAGTAATTGAAAAGATTCAATGGAGAAAATATAAATAAAATTATATAAGATAGCATGACGGTATTCTTCCTTAGTTAATATAGATAAAATTAATTTAAAGTGCATAAATAGATCAATCTTAATTAATAACTTAATTTCAACTTTTAACTATTTTCCCTAATTAATATATATTTATTAGTCTGTCTGCATAATGGTTTTGGTCTTAGGATTAAAAGTCTAATATATTTAAATTTCAAAATTAGGTTATGAGATAGTCTAAGAAATTCTAATTTTATTTCATCTTACCTGACCCACTACTTCTTATAATTGCATAACACTTTTTTGTTTTTTTCCTATAAATATAACTTCTCATTTAAATGTTTTTAACTTAAACATCTTTTAAATTTTTGCTAGAATATATATAAAACTAAAACAAAAGTTAAGATGATTTTAAATTTAAATTATGTTTAAAGTCTAATTAAGGAAGAAAAGTATGTGATTACATAATAAGTTTAAATTTGAATAATGTATCTATATGTGGATATAATGTAAACTATTTATAAGAAATAGCTCTTCAAGAGCAATTTTAGAACTGGTTTTTTTGAAAAAAAATTGTATTTGACCTGATTTAAAGAAATTCAACATAAATTTGAACAGGGTTTGATTGGATAAACCGATAACAGATAAATAAAATTGAATAAAATAAATAATTATAGTTAAGTTTGAATAACGGATTAAAATTTTATAGATATTTGTTACAATTTAGTAATAAATTATATAAAATCATAATTGAACCATAATTAAAACGTCTAATCCGCTATCGTTATATATCTTTTTAAAATATATCTGTCGATTTTTTAAAATTTTAGATATTAAAAAGATATTTTATAAATTTTAAAATAAAATATAAATAATAAAACACAATGTAAATTAAATTAAATATAAACTAAAATTTAATTTTAATTAAATTTAATCTAATAAAATATAAATTTAATTTAATTTAATATAAATTAATTTTTTTTTTTAATTTTTTAATAATATAACTCGATATATTTATGAATAAATATCAAAATACCTACTATCCACTGTTTACATTAATAAATATCAATATAAGAAATTATCCATCACAATTTTTACCTATTAATATAAATAATATAATTATGTTCTGACGGCATAAATTGATAGTACTGTTACAGAAGTTGGATGGTACAAAATAATAATTGGTGGAATTAGTGACTGCACGCAATGCAATGCAGAGCAACACAACAGCTCAGAGATGCAGATTCTCTTACTTTACACTCTTTCATTATTTATTTCAACAACATTTTTACACCTTTCTTTTTTAAACTTCAAATATCCCAAATCATCCTCTCTTTCAATAAAGGAATCTATTTTTTAAGTTTCAAAGTTTCTTAAAAATTCCATAATTATACTTTCTGAAATAGATTTCAATTTTTAAATTATTTTTGACATAAATTTTAAATTGATTTTTCCAAAAATAACATTTTTGTCACATGTACTTTATAATCAAATGATAATTTGTGAATTTTTTTAGTATGCTAGTATTTCTCTCCATACTCTATGGGGGAGAGTTTCTGAATCATATATATGTAGTAAAATTTTCTTCCGACACAAGAACAACATGTCAAATCTTATTAATGGAGAAATTTTGACAATTGTTTCTTGCCAGACCTGAATTTCCAGAAAGTAATAGTAAAAAGTTGAAAAACATTGTGCATCCTTGTCTCCTTTCTCTTCATTCAATTTAGTTAAAATTAACTATTATTATTTTCTTATGCTAATTACAAATATCTTATAGGTTAGTCATATTAAAATTCTATAATTGGTGCTTTAAAAATGAAAACAATGATGGTAATATATGTCTCCCTTTAGATGTGTTAATGGGGTATGTCTGACATTTTAAAAGGAGGTATCTTTATCTCAGCCAACAAAAAATAAAATAAAAAAGACAAAGCCATGGGGCTATGTGGAGTAGCAGCATGATTCCTATGAAGAACAAATAAAAGAATTTGTACATGAAAATGAAATGATTAGGTAACAGTAAAGAAAAACTGCAGAGAGAGAAACTCAGTTTTTTTTTTCTCATCTATTTATTTATTATTATTATTATTATTTATTTCCGGCCATGAACCTCGCAGCCTTTTCCCTCTGTCATCATCATTCTTCTTATAATTCATAAAACTTTTAATCTCTACCTGTCTTCTTCACTACACACCATTCGTCCATTCTCATTTTTTCTACCTTTTCCTTCTTCTTACCCATTTCATTTTTTTCACCAAGTTTGAAACTTTCCTTCTTTTCAACCACACCCATCTTCTCCTTTTCGTTGATTCAGACTTTATGCTTTGCCTCTTCATACGTTCTTAGTCCTGAGTTTTCAAACCACTAACTGGTATATTGATTTGTTCTGTGGTTTTCTCATCTGTGCATTGATGTGTTTGTGTTGCTTGGAAAAACTGTGGGAATTTGAGTCAGTGAATAATTTATTTAGCTCAGCAATGTTTATTGACCAAAGTTGTGGCCTTGTGGGACTTGTCGGGTTCATGCATTTTCTCAGAACCTGCAATTGAGTTTCTCTGATTGAATTTTTATGAGTGAGCTCTGGAGATAAAACTGTTTTGAGTCATTGGGGATGCTTGTACGACTCGAATGCTTATCTGTCTTTTGGATCAGCTTTGGATCAGCATGAAAGCAGTTTTCACATTTTTCATACTTGTCCTTTTCACTCGAATCTTCAAACAATTAATTGTTTTGGGCAACGCTGAAAGATATTAATCTGAATGCTTTACCCAGACTAAATTTCTTTCATTGATTGATTTCCACTTTTCATGCTAATTTTTCCTTACATAGGGTACAATTATTACCATCTAAAAGGCCCAAAAATAGCCGATTAATGATCCTTCATTCTAAATGCAGAAGTTCAGTGGTTGAATATGTGTGCTCATATTATCTGAATTGGCATGAAGGCTTACATGTTCTGATATGAACCAGGATTGTTGACTAGTTATCACATTTAAGACTCCTCGTTACTATACATCTGCCTTTTCTTTTCTGTATATAGATTGGTTTATATTTCATATATCTTTTTTCCTTTTTGGCTTTAAATGAAATCTTATACTTATTTTTAGATGCTATGATCTTCGATGGTTGTGCTATAATTGCTGAATTTCCTTAAACTGGTATCTGATGAAGATATGGCATTGTAGGGTGCAAACTACGAAGAGTTTAATGAAGTAAGATATGGAAGATGAAATTGAGGACATGGGAGTCTTTTGGTAGACTCTATTTGTATGGGAGGCTTATTACACTTCTTTGAATTCAATCAGGGGAGGATGGCCAAGAAAGTCCTTGCTCGGAAGAGACATCATGGTGGTAGGTGTTGTTCGTTGTATTTATGAAAAACTTCACTCATGCTAAGAATAACCGTCTTAGGTTTATGCCCTGGCATATTCCACTGAGGGAAGGCACACTATAAGGAAGATCGATTGTGCACTAGTTTCTTATGATTCATTCTTGCAAGTGGAAGACTGCCAATAATTAATTCGCCAGTCAAATTTCTATTTTACAATATTAGAAATGTTATTGATATGATGAAACAGTTGGAAAGTAACATGTAGCCTTTCTCAATTCCCAATGTGCAGGTTATATATTCGTTAGATAATTCCAATTAATGCAAATTGGTTTTGAGATGAAATATAATTGTAAATGCTGATTACTTTGTTATTTGGAGATATTCATGAATTCTTGAAAGTTGCCTTTTTTTAGAATTTGGTGGCTTATTATGTTATTATGTTGTGTCATGTAGGCCTGGAAGCTCCTCGAAATAGTCTAGATCTGCAAGTACAAACCCCTCAGAACTACTGCCCACAAGGAGAATTATCAGTATATTCCCTATCTCTATTCTGTGTCCTTGTTAACAATGACCTTTCCGATTTAAGTTTTGGGAATGACCCCTCAATGGTTTCATGAATTTGATTGATTTTCCCTTCATTTAATTGACTGATTGAATAATGTGGAGCATAGTTCTGATTTTGTTATACCACTGTTCATCGTACTTTTTAATCTAATACGTGGTGGTAAACTCAAAATGTTGCATTTTCCACTCGCATCTACAGAGCAGCAAAGTTAACTTCATCTATTTCTCTGTCTTTTCTCATCCTTCCTTCACTTAGTCTCTGATTTCAATTTCCAGTGCAGTTATCAAGTGGAAGAAGAGGGCAGGTCTGAGAATAATCGTTATTCAAACGTGGGTTCAATGAAAAAACTGATCAATGAGGAGCTATCCAAACAATCAAGCACCAGGCAAAATGCGCCAAGCCTTGTGGCAAGGTTGATGGGGATAGATACGATGCCATTAGACACTAAATATGTTGTCCCATCAGATAAGAGAATGAGTGAAAACGTGGGGAAGAAGTCTTCAGAGAAAGGATTGAGTCGAAGGGGTTCAGTTAGTTGGGGTTCTTCTAACTTTAATTCTTCGAGCCAGATGGATTTTGAGTCATTATACGAAGACATGGATGTTGATGACAACGATGATGGGTGGAACAAGAGTTTTGGAGAACCAAGGCAGCGGGATCATCCTCAGGAAGAGGAACTACAGAAATTCAAGAAAGAGTTTGAAGCATATCAAGCAGCAAGGTTTCAAGAGTGTTCGAAGGTTGCTGAAATTGGTAGTGTTCCTAAACGGTTGCTAGTTCAAGAAAACTCGAACAAGGAAAAGGTGATTCATAGTGATTTAGTTTTACAAAGAGCAGCAGCAGGGAAACCTGCAGATCTTGATAACCATTCATTCAAAACACCACCACCTGAAAGTTATGGTTCAGAATATCATGGTGACATGATGGAGTTAGTCTCAGCTACTCAAAGGAAAACCTTTCCTCCTAGGAGCAGAACATTAAGTAGAGACTTTGAGGAGTCCTTAATGATGAAATCCTGCAACAGATTAGACACGTCTGCTTCTCCCACCAGGATAGTTATCTTGAAGCCTGGTCCTGAGAGCATTAGCAACCATGAAGAGAATTGGACCATTTCAACCGGAACTATACAAGGGAGAAATAGTATAGAAGATTTTCTTGAAGAGGTGAAAGAGCGTTTAAAATGTGAACTGCAAGGGAAAATTGTCAAAAAGATTTCTGTGGTTCGAGGGAGTGGAATTGAAACACCTTACAATGAAAAACCATCTGATCCTAAACTAATAGCTCGACATATAGTAAAGCAAGTCAGAGAAAGTGCGACCAGAGATGCTGACACAAATTTACTCCATTCTGAATCAACAGGGTCGTTCAAGAGTGAAATGCAATTCAATGGAGCAACTTCCCCTGAAGTTATCAGCAGAGATACCCGGAAGTTCTTGTCAGATAGGCTAAGAAATGTTGTGAGAAGTGAAGCACGTGCTGGTTTTCCCGAGAGAAAATCAAGGTCACTTGCATTAGATAGTCATAAAGATGGACTAAAGCAAGGGGGGGATATTATGAAGTACGCAAGTAACTGGGAAATTTCCAAAGAGGACGCAGAAATACAAACAGGTTCTTTCAGACATGAACTGGATGAAAATATATTTCTGCACAGGGAGTTGTCTCCAAGGAATCTTGTAAGATCCTTGTCTGCTCCTGTATCACGATCAGGAACATCATTTGGGAAGCTTCTTCTGGAGGACCGCCACCTTTTAACTGGTGCTCAGATTCGGAGGAAGCTTGAAGCTGTTGAAACTATGTCCGTTGATGTCAAGAAACGGAAAAAGGATAGATTTAATATTAAGGAACGAGTCTCCAATTTTAGATATAATCTTGCTTTAAGAGGGAGGCTTTTTGGCAGAAGGGTTCAATCAACGGTGGAATCACGTGCCAATGAGTATGGTCCCATGGTGAGAGATGTCACAAGTGGACCAACAGTTCTCATGAACTGCGGTGAGCGCCATGTAAGTTTGCCTTATATTTTTTTTCCCATTCTCAGTGATGAACTTTGTTTTTCTCTTATTATATTTCATATATAGTTATCTAATCACAGATTTTCTGTTACGTGGTCTTTAGGAGAACTCCACTGAGGTACCTCCGAGTCCTGCATCTGTATGCAGCAGCATTCATGAAGACTTTTGGAGGCGGACTGAATATTTAAGTCCAATATCAACTCCTGATGTGTCTTCAAGAGATGATACAGCTGTGCCACAGGTTTTCAGGGATATCAGCTCTGGTTTGAATGGTATGATATAATTCTAACTTTCATTCATGAGAAATGATATCATAGACTTGATTCATGACAAGATAGTTTACTATGGTTTTACTGCATGTGCAATATGAAGCTATATCAACAACAATCTTTATTCCTTTTCAAATGACTAGTGAACTAGGTTGCAAGATCAGAGTTTTGGTTTACATGATCACCTCAGCTTTACATCCCAGTATAAGTTGCTTCAACGGCCATATAACTTCTGTTGTTGCCACCAGTCAAAACTTGGGCTCTGTTTTTTTTTTTTTTCTTTCATTCACCACATGGATCCTTTTGATACATCTTATAAAACCCAAAATTTTTACAAACTGGGTATGTGTTAACTGTTTAAGTTGGTTAGTTGGCATAAAACTACAGGGATGGGATCAACAAAAGAAGTGCAATTTCTTTGCTTCAGTATGGCAATAATTAGCTTAGTAAAAGACTTTGTTAATGTCATGGAATTTGATTTGAATGTCGTGAATATTATAAACACATTCAGATATCAGAGGGATCAACCTTTGATTGGATTTGTTTTTGGTGTTGCTGTATAAGAGATGAGAAAAGTGTTCCGGGTATGAAATGTTAGTGCCAGGAAAAATGTATGATTTTTCCTTATACCTATTTTCTCAATGCTAGGTGAATATCATTCCCCCTTTGCTTAGATATCAAGTTCTTTCTAATAGATCTCTTTTCATGTTAATGATGTGACAGAACTAAGGAGGCAACTCAATCAACTTGAATCAGATGGTCCTGAGGACTTCACTATGAAACATGAGGCCTCTGAGTCTGACTTGGACCAACTAGAGGATCCAGCGGAATCATACATAAGAGACCTACTTGTTGCTTCTGGACTATACTTTGGTTCATGGGATAAGTCTTTATTAAGAGGGGACACATTTGCAAAGCCTATTGGCAACTCGGTTTATGAAGAAGTGGAAGAATCTCGCAGGAAATGGGTCAAGGAAGATGATGACAGCTGCATCAAGGATCACGATAAGAATAAACCAGGCCACAAAGTGTTGCTTGATCTGTTAAATGAGGCACTTTCAGTTGTTCTCGGACCTCCATTGACATTGTCCAGATTCAGAAAAAAACTAAGTAACTCTTCCATGTTGCTACCTTCTGGAAAGGAACTATTGAACTTAGTGTGGGACATTATCCGTGTTTCTATATATCCTCCATCTGACATATCTACTTATTCACTTGATGATTTGGTGGCTCAACACCTAGGATCCATCCCCTGGTCTGAATTAATAAACGATGAGATCAATATTTTGGAAAGAGATATAGAATGTCTAATAACTGATGACCTGGTTGAAGAACTCACAAAGGATATATGTTCTAAAATGAAGTGAGAAGTAGCATTTTACATTATCATTTTGACAATAAAGAATCCTGCACATGGAGCAAGGTTTATACATGATTACTGAAATTGGAAGATAACCCCTTAATTGATATTGATGTGTGTATATATATAGTAGTTGGTGTGAGTGCTTGTTATACCGAGGGCATTGAGTTGCGGTAATACATACTGTACATGAGTGGCATGAGTTTCTAGGTTTATTTTTTGTTAAGTAGAAAATTGATTGATGGTTGTAGTTATGATATATCTTTTTTAACTTGGGAAATATGTTAGAAGTTGTTATTCTTAAGAGAGTCAAATACCAATAATGAATTATGTGAAAGGCATCTGCCTCTGCCATGTATCATGAATGAAAGTCAAATGTGATTCAGTTTTGATACAACATGGTAACAGCTCTTTGACATTATTACTAAAAACTTGATAAATTTGTGTGCTATAACGTGCTACATTGAAACAGACTTATCTAGATGTTCAGGCTTGAAAATGTTTAACATGCCACTTTCTTTGTCCTTCTGGCAGACCTTCTATATGTGAAAAGGCATAGAGTGGATATGCTGCATAATCAACAAAAGTTTTCCATAATTTGCGGATGATTTCATGTTCTAATGCATGTGCCATAAATGTCAAACTATCTTCTTTTTTTTAGATTTATCTATGCAAGACCCAAAACTGAAAAATGAGAAGAGTGGTAATTTCTTGTTGCAGTTGTCTCAAAACGCATGATAATTACTCATTAAGGGTGCATTTCTATCAGATAAGCTATCCCTGTTGAAACAAATAATGCTAAGAATGAAAAGTTTGAATCTTTGATTCAGCATTTCCCACCCCCAAAATAATGGCTGTCTTACAGTATGAAGGGTAGGGGGCCTTAGATTTTTTTTTCTTTCTCTTTTTAAGTCAGATTTCCTGCTTTACTTTATGAGCATTTTAACTACATCATATATATACTTAACTTTAAAGGTTCTTCCATTTAATGAACTAATATTTTTTGTTAACTTTCTTGTTGTTGGTAAGTTTTAACAATTGATGATAGATGGCTAAACTTCTCATTTTAAATAGAATACATTATTTAATGTGACACTTAATCTTAAATATACTTATATATTCGTTAAAAGGAAAAAAAAATCAAAGTAAACTTTAAACTAATAACTTAAGTTGAAAGGTGAGTTACTAGTTTATTGGTGATGATTCATAAAATCAAATTAGCTTTTTTTATGGTTTATTTTGAAGAAATAATTTTTATTTTTTTAGTAATTTTAGAACTTTTTGAAATATTATCAATAATACTTTTATGATGTTTGACAAAAATAATTAACACAGTTAAATTAAAAATTATATTTATTTATTTTTAAAGTTTGGAGATAAAACTTTATCAAGTTAAAGTTTGGAATAGATAAAAAATTAATTTCATATCTAATTTTTGTAAGAAACTAAAATATATTTAATGCTAAAATAATTAATAACAGTTTTTTTTTAAAAAAAAAACTAATTGCTTTAGTTGTATAATATATTGTATTTAAAATAACTATAAAATATATCTTATAGGTGAATGTTCTTTAACAAAATATATTTCATACTAATTAACAAAATATATTCTTAAAATTAAAATAATAGAAAAATCTTAACACAGGGTATTTTTATTTTATTCAAAAAAATAAGAAAATGAAAACTATTTATCACTTTTAAAAAAACTTATTATTTTTAAAGAATATTATTAGGTACGGTTCAATCATAAATTAAAGAACATTTTGAATGTCAAAAACTTATAAAACGTATTAGTTTTGTTTTTAGTATTATTATGATCTTATATTTTTTTAGTGTTATTTTATATATAACTTAATTATTAACATTATTATACTGGTATCGGGTTTAACTAAGATTTAGCTGTTAGTCCAATAAAAAGACTATTTTAAAAATAAAATAGTTCAAATCTGTTTATGATGTTCATCAACTTCATACTGATTGCTTCTGAATAAAAATAACTAATTATTTATATCATCGATTCTAACTTAATTAGTTCCTTGTGCAATCTGTTGAATGTCCAATTACAAAAACTTACTTACATGTTTTCTATTTAATTATCATCATTTCATGAATTTTACTATTTAGGATTATTTTTTTTCACATTTTACTAATATATTTGTTCATTTTTACATATTTTACCAACAATAAAACGTATAAACACATACAATCATGTGCATAAAGATATAATCATTCTGTATTTCCAGATTACTTAATAATTAAATATATAACAATGTATCATACCAACTAGAAAAAAAAGGTTATAAAATTGAAATGAGTTAAAACTTTTCTTTCTGAAAAATGAAATTGTTCCAATATGACACAATAGAGTCAATGGATTTTTGTATGCTATTTTTCTATTATGTTTTTCAAAATATACTGAGTTTGATATATTAAAAATATATTTTAAAATATCAAAATCAATATATTTTGAAACTACAGTAAATCAATATCAAAATTTCAGCAGAAAATTAAAAATAGACAGACCACTCATTCAAACACAGCCTAAACTGATGGGTATAATATGAAAACCATTGCAGTCAATTATTCATTCTGCATGAGCACAAGTCTCTTCATTGCTACCAGTTGCAGCACAGAGGGCCTTCCACACATGGACCAATATTTTCACCGGAGGGCGTGAGTTCTAGCAAAACAGATTTAAAAATCCTTCTTTAGTGGGTAAAAGGCTTCAAAAAAATCGTCAAAATGATGAAGTTAAATGCTTTCTTAAGCTAATCATTCTTCTCATGATTTTAGTTTTCAACAATCAAGCAGTAGCCCTTCCATCTTTAATAGTGAAAAAAATTGAGAACTTTGAAAACTTGTTAGATGGAAAGTAACTCACCTTGAAAACTAACACCATTTCTGATTCTCCACGAATAATCAATGAAAGAGTCCAATAACAAGTCATTGGAGTCACACATTCTATTAGAACAGGTTTCAGAATCTTGTCAATGGGAACGAAGTATCGGATGACTTTTCCACTACAGCAAAGTATCCAAAGACAAAATAAGTATTTAATGGTATCAAATATGTTAAAATCATGTTAGGGTTACAATGGCCAATACAAAGGACACCAAGATACCAGTTGAATGAGTTGAAAACAAGTTGGATATAATCTGTCAGCTAAAACCAAAGACTTTGAAGTAATATACTTTCATCATGAAAATTATGTGATTCAAAATTCAAATACCCATGCCAGATAAGAAACAATCAATTTATAACTTGTTTCTCAAGTATGAACAACCAAAAGATCTCTAAACTGGCCACAAGCTTTCCAATACCCAACCTTTGAAAGATAACAATTACAGAGCACACAATCCTTTCTCAAAACAGAATCTATTCATGCATTAGGCTTTACAGGGCCTCTTAATTCACGCTGAATGTTGACTGAAAATCAATCAACAAAACGCATTACCTCACATAATGAGTCTCAAGCTGTACTCCAAAAGCAGGCATAATCACAACGGATTCTGCAAGAAAAATTACAAACATTGTGAAAATGGCAAAATAAAGTTTAAGAATTAAAACATGGAAATGAATATATTTTCCATTCCAAGTTAAAATAAAAATAACAGTTAATCTTTCAAATACAAAACCCTGCTAGGAAGGTCCTCACCTTTCTTAATTGGCTTCCCAAGTAATGACTTCACAAGAAATATGTCAAAAAGAAAGCTGCAATACACAAGACTAATTGATTTTTCCTGTTAATAGAAGAAATGTAAAGAAGTAAAGGTAAAAACCACAATATTTAAAATCCTTGAGTCATTGAAAAACAAAACAGTTGAAAGACATACCTTATAAGCATACAGATACAAGGCACATGCTAATATAAGAAGTGCTGTGGTATACACAAAAAAATATTTTGCATTACTCCTCCTCGAAATTATATGGTGTATGTCAACAACTTCAGAGGAATATTTCTGATCATGGACATAAGTATATCTGACATTGCTTTTTGAGAATTCGATCATCCTGACAAGAAAAACAATTTTTTTTTTCTATACTCAGCACCCATGGTTATCAATTCCAAACAGCAGTGAGGAGCAGCTAGCTCCAGCAGCGCACAGGAAGATAACCATTGCTTTAAAGATTATGAATACAAGTTAAATAACTTATACTAGACATATATAACTGAAAAAAATAAAATAAAAAACTACAAAACTAAAGACATATTTATAGTTAATGATCAAAAGCCATAGGTTTAAACAAAACAAACAAGTCAATAACAAAACAACGAAGAATGAAAAAAAATAAAAAGGAACTGCGACTGGATTACCAAAACTCACTAGGTCATAGATGAAAAAAGAAAAAAAAGAGGGAAAAACAGGAAATGAAAATATCTTTTTTATAGAGACAATGTCACTTCACAGAGTATAGACTCATAGAGAGGATGGATTCTTACTTTCCACTATAATTTTGTTATAGAGACAATGTGACTTAACAGGAGCTTACTCCTACAGTCTTCATAAGGTCATTAAGTTCTTCCAATGCTTTGGATTTACGCCATGTTGCCAACAATGACAACGCAAAAGTTCCTGAAACACAACGTTGGAGGATAGCTTATAGCATGGGTCAATAATTCATATCCCTGTGAGTAACCCTAAAACCCATAAAAAGCCAATTCCAGTAAAAACAATAATCAAATAAAATGTGGGAAATTAATCTCCATTGCCTCCTTCTGTTTCTGGATGTTAAACACTGTTAAATCTAATACATAACAATCAGCAATGTCCTAACAACTAATATTATATAGAATGCTTAATAAAACTATCTAAATCCTTAATTAATAACAGAACAGAAAAAAAGTGAAATTGAAGGAATTTCATGTAGACACCATATATCATGCATCAAACACAAAACTAACAAGGAGTTCGAAACTTAGATTAAGAGAACGAAAAACGCAAAAACAGCTCATGAGACTTACCTTTGATATGCTCTCCAGGAAGCAAAACAACGGAGAAAGCTTTGTACAGAGTGTTTCGATATTCAACACAAACATGACATAATCTCATAATTAAATATTATTTTATTTTAAACTTAAATATAATTTTACTTCCCCTAAAATAAATGAATTATTAATTTTGTTCAAATCGATTTCACTTTTTTTTAATATGAAATTATTGTTTTCGTCCTTGTAAAATAAAATGAATGTAGTTGTTTCACATATGGTATTTTTTTTTTATTCCTCTAAAATTTGATATCATTATTTTTTATTTCAAACATTTATTTTAAGATAGATAGTAAATAGTATTTATTTTATAAAATAAATTTAGGGTTTCTTTTTTATATTTTTATATATTTGGTTTCTCTTACCTATGTTTGGTTCAAATTGAATACTAATAAAGCTTTATTACT